TATGTCGTACGGCATTTTGTTGTGGGGTCGAGCTGCAGAAATAGAATCAATTTTTATTCTTCAAAAGCGGGCTATCCGAGCAATATATAACTTACGCCGTTGCGAATCGCTAAGAGAATTGTTTAAAACGATAAACATCTTAACGGTGCCCTGTCAATACATATATGAAAATATAATGTATGTAAGAAAGAATAGGCAATTGTTCGAAAAAAGAAGCGATAGACACAATCTTAATACTAGAGGCAAGAATAAGTTAGCTGTACTGCAATTCAGACTGTCCAAGGTACAGAAATCCTTTATGGGGTTAGGTATTAAATGCTATAATAAAATACCAAATAGCATACTAGATCTAAATGAAAGTAAATTTAAAACATATATTAAGCGCGAATTATGTAAACAAGCGTACTACAGGGTGATTGATTATCTTGAGGATAGGAATGCTTGGCAGCGTGTTGGTTCGGCTCCACTGGACAATACTCAAATGTAGTCAGTACCTAGTTCAGATTACGATAATAGGTAATTTAACACTTTGATTCCGATGAAGGCAATCTATTTTTCTTGTGGCATCGAGCATTTCTTTCTTTATTTAAACAAGAGTATATTTTTTATTTTTTTCTTGTATAGAAGCACTATTTTATATGGATTGTCAGTATACATATGTGAGGACCATGTCAGACTTAAGATATTTGTTTTCTCTTGGTTTTGTTTTTTTTTTTTTTTTTTTAGTATGTTCTGTTATTTGTATGTTGCTTCAGGTATGTCTTTACATTATTCTCACATGTGTGTACAATATTGGAATATGTATCAGAGCAATGTAAAACAGACTTTTTTAAAAGAGTAACGAATGGAGTTTCTTGCTCGTTCTTCTCCACTCGAATCGACATTTTGGAACGAGCGCCTAGCTTCACTGACGGACAGACTGACAGACTATTATATATCTCATATTTGTTGACGTTTCAAAAGTACCAAATTATGGTTTAATTGAAATAAATGCTTTTGAGTTTTTTTTTTTTTTTGATCGGAAAATATCAGGTGTAAATATTAGGTGCACCTGTTTCTCATAGTCTTTATAAGGTTGTTCAGAAAACGTACAAAGTCACCTGACTTTGTAACTCACACACAAAGTACATATTAAAAAATCGTCAACTCCGACCCGAGTTCACACGAAGTAGGGAGCAGGTACACAGCACGAGTTTTTGAAACCTAACAAATGTAAGCGTGACCTTTGATTGTGTATTTTTTGAATTAATCTTAGTCTGGGACTGGTGGCAGGGAAAATTTTGCGAGCGTTTGTGCTCGTTTTTATCAACCTCTCCTAGATTTTTTGAGGAACCCCTTTAGCTTACCTTAATATAGGTGACAATAAAAGACATTATAACTTTCACCAACTCATAAGTGATACCTAATAATACACGTATGGGGATAGTTTAAGTACTCCCTCAAGAGAAAGTGCTGGTTTTGGCGTGGTTGTTGAAAATGGTCACAAATGTTCAAAAATTTAGAATAGAGGAATTGCTCAGTGATGTTTATTTACAAAATTGGTTATGGGTATAAATGCGTTTTATCGTTTATTGCATTGTTGCTTACCACCAGGTAGAATTGTTTTATGAGATAAGCCGGTAAACTAGCTGACTGATCACCTGAAGGTAAGCAATCGACGTCGCCTATGGACACCTGGAACACCAGAGGCGTTACAAGGGCGTTATCGGCCTTTTGGGGCTTAGGAATTTGAGAAATGTCGGGGATTCAGGCATTGGGGAGATTGGGATAGTTGGGCCTCCGGCAACCACACTCATACGATGATACATAACGCAAGCATTGTTTCACGTCGGTTTTCTGTGAGGCCGTGGTATCACTCCGGTTGAGCCGACCCATACTTGGCGAAGCATGGCTCTCACACACTTATTATTATTAGATGTCTAGTGGCGATCTATATAAAAACAAATATGAACAGTTTGATTATGATATACTAGTAATTATAATATAGATAAAGCATTACTATCGTATGATTGACAAAATTATTATCAGCAAAGAATACCGGTAATTACTGTACCGGAAAAACTGTTGATATAAACTGCATACGAATTATTATAAGGGCCGATTTTTCAATCAACAGAAAATAATTATTAACTGTATAATAAAATTGCCATTTCACAGTTTTTAGTATGGAAGGTTTATCAAGTATTCAAAATCTATCTGGCGTTGGAATAATCAGCCCTAAGTAGTAAATTAATACTTAATATAAATTAATAATCAGTAATAGCACGGAGTCAGGAGCTGTGGCAATAGGCTCACTCCTTTTTACATGTGACTCATAACGTATAGGTATAGTAAAAGTAGGTGTTACATTGTACAGTGGCATTAAGTGCCGTAATGTGCACATCACATGTTGATAAAAGGCGTGATGTTATTTTATTAAACGGGAATCATACTCAAATATCACCAAGCGTTTCATGACAACCTCTTAATCTAATAATACCCAAGTAAGTATACTTAGTTACTTAATTACGTGTGTGGTTATACGAAGAGTTATCTCAGCTACTGAATAATTAGCCAACATATTTGCTTAGCCAATAAAAACATGGAACTGTCAACCACACGTCAATATAACAGCTGAGTTACGAAAACAGCCCCTACTGCTTACGAAATAAGGACGCTACAAGGACATACTTTTTTGCACGCTGTGCATATCAGTGACATAATTGTAAGACTTATGATTACTTGGAAATGTGAAAGAAAAGATAATTATCTTCTTAAGTAATCGATTATTTGATATAGTCAAGTAATATAGAAAGGGTACGATGGGGGGGTGACATATCTTTGATAAAAGCTTCTAAAAAGATAAAAAGACTTAGATTAAAAAAAGAAATCGATTATTTGATTGCACGGTTGTCGCGGTGACTGGGTAACCGGCTGCCGCGCAACGTGTAGCGAGTTCAATTTCCGTACGGAGCAATTTTTTGTGTGATCCACAAATTGTTGTTCCGGGTCTGGGTGTCATGTGTATGAATGAACTTGTATGTTTGTAAACGCACCCACGACACAGGAGACAATCCTAGTGTGGGGCAATGTTTTTTTTTTTATTATGACTTTAAAGGAGAATTACGCAAATCCGTCCACAAATCATTGTGCATACATACAAAAAACATTGAGAGCCTCACAGTTTTGGGAAGTCGGTTAAAAAGTCGGGAAGTGGGTTGAAATTTTACAGTACATATTTCGATGTTTAACATAAAATACTGGATTCAAATATGCCATAAATTATTTTATAACTTAAAAGAGTTTATTCTCCTTTCGAACAGTAAGTTTTTAGACATAAAATGAAAATATAAGTTTTAGTAACCACGGTGTTATTCGTTAAAAACCCAGAGCTATTAATTTTATTTCATTTTTTTTTGTTTTTTTTTAAACGTTGCCCCACACTAGGATTTTCTCCTGTGTCGTGGGTGCGTTTACAAACATACAAGTTCACATACCTCTACACAATATGACACCCAGACCCGAAACAACAATTTGTGGATCACACAAAGTGTTGTTCCGTGCGGGAAACGAACCTGCGACACGTTGCACGGCAGCCGGTTGTCCAGCCACCGCACCAACCGTGCAGTCATTGATTGTTAAATGAATGCATTAATTAGAATTACATTACAATATATACATATAGATGGTCACTCAGATCTTAGAAGCGTATTCAATTTGCATATATCATATTATTATACCTAGACTTGAGCAGTGAGATTAATTGCCATACATAATAATAATAATTTTGTAGATGTGTGCATAACTAATATTTTTAAGTATTTATACAAGTATCATATACTTGGTTCCATATAGTATCACTAATTCTTATTTTTATTACAAATTAATCATGAACTTAATTCGCGTAAACTCAAAAAGGAAAACAATGCACATAGTTTTTACTCTCGTAGTACATTCAATTAGTGCTACGCTTTCTCGTAGCAAACATAGTAACGCAGTAATTACGTACTGATAAATAAAATTACTAAATCATAAGAAGTGCATCAGCGTGAAATTTCTCGTAGCACTGAAGACGTGGGCCTGCTACGCGCTACGAACTACGTAGCGTACGTCTACGCTAGGAGGAAATAAAATTAGGCATGTAGGTACTTGTCTGAATTTTTACGTCGATCAATTTTGTAATCAATTAATCTTTCATGCAATTTAATTTTATTAATATTACTTGATTAAACATACGATTGGCAAGTATTTTACAGTTATCAGTTTATCGGGGCAAGTAATCTTTTGCAAGCTGATATTTTTTCGGAACAATTTCGGTTTTAAAAATCAGTTTTAACTGAATGATTTTCCTTGTAGTAACCCAACTGATTGTCACAGACGATTACCGATCTGTAATCGGACTCCCATTTCTATCTGTGTACGTGATTACATGCATATGTAATTGTACAAATATATATGTATGTGTGTGAACTATAGTAAACTAAACAGTAATAATTGTGGTTTAGTCAAAAGATATTTTAATAGTTAAATATATTTTAACTAGCATATTTTCCCTAAAGTACGATTTATTAACTGTGTAAAAATATTCATATCATTATGTATATTTGTTGTTAATCTTTGACAGCCATCTAATCGAATATAATGCGTAATAAGAAACGATAAAATACTATAGCGAATACAGTATGTAAATAAAAAATATAACACTATCATCGAAAGTAAATAATACATAGATATGTTGTGGACAATGCCATCCACGCGATAACTATATAAGTTACACTTATTACCATCCCAGTTAGAGATAAACATTAGTGTATTTAGTCATCGCTGCCGCAGTTTGCCTTGGCTACAGCCACAATTTGCATTGACAAACATAAACATTACATATGCAAAGCGACATGTCCTAACAAATCGCAAAAACTTGCATTCTACTATCACAGAGCGATCTTGATTAGTGGCGCGCGACCCACGCACTCATCGCGGCGGAGAACACGCCAAACGCATCTTGTAAACAAAACAGTGAGCCAGTTGCGTGGATATCATAAGCCGCGCTCGTCGCCTACCGCTCATTCCGCCGCGAGCTGCCGGCCACGCCGCACGTACGTCGCGACAATGATCGATTACGCGCTCCCCCATCAAAATATGCATTACGATCCGTACTACCCATCTACTTCACCGGCGCCCGCGCGCCTTGACGATTTCCAAGTTTTCAAGAAAGGAACTGCTTCTCACATCTACGGAAATTATTATTCTAACGCGCCCTACGACTTGTACCCAGAGCCCGAGATTGACAGCGCCATGAACGTGTACCACAACCTCGTCAGCTGTCGCGACTACCCTCGCGATACCCGAGATGACTGGAAGTACAAAGTCGTGGACACCTGGAATGAAGATGATACCGTGTCCTGGATGATTGACACCGTCCAGTACTTGGGCCATTGTGAAACTGAAATACCCTTCTACAATTTTAGAGTTAAAGGATTTGATCTGAGAAATATGAAACGTGAGGATGTGCTCAATAGAATGCTTCACCCGAGCATCGACCACATAACTTCGAGACGGATTGCGGATAGTGTGTATGAGAAGCTGCAGAACCGTCTCCACGAAGAAATATTACGCCAGTCCTCCATAATCAAATATGCAGACGTCGATCCGTACCATAGCCAAGAGTCCACAAACACGATGCTCGACTTGGATTCCCTGGACCACAAGAACAGACTGTACACCTCCGACTACACCCCTAACGACAGTACTCTCCTGCATCAAACTGACTCCAGCGATGACACGGAGGACGTGTTCCGTTCCTCGGAGACTGCGTCCCCGGAGTGCTCGTACGGCAGTGATGGAAGCAAATCTGGAGACGAAGATGACAAAAGGAAAATATTCAAAAGACCGCCCGGCAGGCCGAAGGGCAGTGGCCGAAGACCGATGAAGCGTCCAAGGAGTGTGTCCGTGCCGGAGTTCCTGAGGAACTTGCTGCTGGATTCCAAGTACTGCCCGTCAATCATCAAATGGGAGGATCACTCTCAGGGAAAGTTTAGGTAAGTTTCTTAACCATTTTTATGTTTTTTGCGCATGACGAGTTACACAGGAGTCAGTTGTCGTGACTTGGAAATTTGTTTACTGTGGTCACATCTCGCTGTTTTGCTCATACATTATTTATCACGTACGAGGCACGTGGAGGCGCACCGGCTAACAATAAACTATATTACAGTTGAACTATTGAAGCTGCAATGTGCTCAGCCAATGCTTATTGATCATTAGTTTTAGTCTTACACGACACTTACATAAATGTGTGGCGAGGAACTGTCTTAGCAAGTTAATGATTGCAACGGTGTCAAGTATAATTGTGAACTGCTCGGTCATCAAACGTGTTATCTGTCTTGTTGAAACGTATGAGACGGTACATGGATGCAAGTTCGCCGTGTAACCTTATCATCCTTTTAATTACCATAATGGTCATTAAACTGGTGACCAGTGCTCCTTGATTGTAAGGAGATACAGCTAACATGTAATTACTCATTGGCATAACGGGCGATCAGTGTTGGTTTGCAGCGAGTGATCAAGGTGCGACATAATTTCACATGCAGGGTCGTCTTGTTCTATATGCAGATCATCAGCCAGCATAACGCATTCGATATATTTTAAACGCACTTCATACGCATCTTTTCAACAATCTTTAGCTTCATATTCATTGGTTTTTTAAAGAAAACGTTTAGGAAATCGAAAACGGGCGCGAAAATACTGATTTAGATGGGAGAACGAAAAACAATTACATCGGTAAATAGATAGATAGACACCAGCGATAGTTAAAATTAACCATGATGATACACAATTAGACAATTAGGTAGAGAGAAGTCGGTTGCTACCTTGCCTTACTATCTTTAAACCTAAACAACTTTTGAAAAATCTCCGTCGAATTGCACAATAAACAACACTGATGCAAGGCTAACATTGCTTTATTTTTACCTTTTTTCTATAACACAAAAGATAACAAGCGATAGCCTTGCTTATCTCCCTAGAGGTCATGATTAAGGATTTATGGACACGCGATCGCTACCATTTAATCAGTAATTAATTATATTCTAATTGGTCTATAAAACGATTGTTCTAACATTTTAGCATTGTCAATTACACGTGCTGTTTTCGTTCTATTTACTCTATTCTTTCCTTGTCCTTCGTGAAAAGCGTTTTGCTTGATTCAGGAAAGTTCGTGACAGCCTAATGTCAAGATCAGCAGCTTTAATAGGCGTTTAACGAGTGTTTTATAGGGCCAGTCACCTCCACAGTAGTATGCGTCGCGGCGGGTCGCAGGCAACAGTTGGAATATTGTAATCACCATTCACAACTAGATTACTAGCACATTATAGGCACGTGTCTCACTTGCATGTGCAAATTCAAGATCTGTATAACACGACTGTGTCAAGACAAGTTTTATTAAACTTGCTCAGTTCTTTTGTCTCAAGTTCGTTGGCTTTCATGTACAGTGACCCATCATCCCATCGCCTCTTTGAGGATCATCCAAATAAATCATCGGTTTAGCAAATATTCTCGAGTGCTCACAATAACCCATACCGTGGTTTTGTTTGTTGTTTTTATCTGTCGCCTCAACCTTGCCGTGCCGGTTCGACGCTGGCCTCGCTCAATGGTTCACATGTAGACGATACACTTTAACTGATACAAATTCAGTCTTATTTGTTAAATGTTTAAGTCTAAATTATGTTGGCGTGTCTTGTAAAACGTTTAACAGCTTCATTTATCAATGTATGAATCTCGTGTTGTTCCATTATGGTGCTTATTATGATCAGCGTTGCAAATATTTTTGTTTGCAACATTCCCGAATGCAATTCGATTTCAGTGGGAGTGATTCGCTTTACAGGTTAGATATAATACAGTACGTAAATAAAGAAAACATTTCGCGAATATAATTATTGTTTAGAAAGCAAGTTATAATTACAGCGTAAGACGAGTAGGTGCAAACGTCTCTTTGAGCATAGTAACAGGCCAGAGCTTAGTATGAAGTACCATCTTTATTACGTTCTCAAAGGTCATCACAGTAATATACACTAACACTAGTATTATCATTAAGTATGACTGTGTGCAGTTTTTATTGCTTGTCCGAGGTGGCCTGAAGATCTTCCAACCGGTTTCTGTGTAGGTTTAACTAGATTTAGGATGAAACCACAGTACTAAAGGCGGAGGCGATTTACGGACGATGTAAACAAAGCGAGGCGCGGCTTCATTGTGAATGGAGCTACAAATATTGCAAGCACGACTAGTTCTAATAGAGTAGTATACAAGAATGTCGTTACACTACATTTATTGACAAGTATAAACGGAAGCAATTATTGCACTCGTAATGTGGCGTAATAAGGTATATAATAATATTAGCTCCGCTGTCGCCGCCACAGCATTCCCAGCCTTAGAATTTAATGCAAATTCACTTTAGAATCATTAATGCTGACTTCATGTTTACTAATCAAATATTTATAATTATAACTTTAAATTATTCGCATAGAATTGATACTTAGAAATAAAAGGACGATAGAAATGTACTTAAACTTTATGCATTAGTTACTGTTCATACTTCATTTATGCTAATGATCTAGCAATTCTTAAATCTTACATACAATTACATGCAACTGACCCAGAGCCAGGTCATGTTGATAAATAAGTCAAAGATCAACACACGTCTAGTACTATAAAGATAACAACATTACATATATGAGCTGGGGAAGTCCAAGTCACAATTATGCTAACTGACCATTCATACCAAATGAAATGCAAAGTACTCCCAAATTGGCAAACTAATAGACTGAGTCATAAAAACGAAATAAAAAAAAATCGATACATTCGTTATATTATTATGTTCATGTAGTTCTTCATTGTCTTCAAACCGTATGAGAACAAAAAAGTATTCATGTAAAAACCATACTCCTTGTCTATGTATTACTTCTCCCGTCAGTAATGCATGTTCTATTACATTTGATTGACATAATGCCCCACCGAATCAAATTATTGAAATTAGTGTTGTGGATTTGCAATATGTTTTATCACAAATTCATCGAAATAACGAACTAACTACGTCGTTAATTAAAACCAGTCACGATGGTACAATCACAGCAGAATCAATAATATATCAAAACTTTATGCTTTTGATATATTATTGATTCTGAATATAAATGTTATCAAATTTTATAAAAACTGTGATTAATATAACATTGAGTTACATTTACCACTGCAGCCGTACCGATATTACGATTGTAATTGAAGCGAGCTCCTCCTTGCCTGCTTGTTTATTGATGTCTACAGATTTAGGTTTTTGTTTGTGTTATTGTATTTTACGAGCGCATGTTTTTGTCTCTGTGTCTCGACCTCGCTGTTTTTTGCTCAGAACCGGTTAAACGTTAGGAAGCAATCTTGCGTTAAACTTTACAAACGTCACCTGTAATGTGCTTGCATTTCATTATACACAAAAATCATCGTTTTCATTAGCATCTGTACCACCGTACTAGTTATCGAGTAAACAAAACACATTACATTGAATATTAAACCTTATTCCCATTAACTAGATATCGCTTCGCCATCAAACAATATCATCAGTTACGCCCTTTCAGCATTAGAAAAAAATTTTTACTCGTGCCGCTTTGATAAGTATCACAAAAATGTACCCACTTATAATGGTACGGATTCCGGGAACACTGCTTTCCCACGCGTTTTCCTCGGCTTTTCTCAGAATTTGCCTCCAATAATCAGAAATACTGCGAAGGTACATAGTAAATTCGTTGACCCTTCAAGTAGGCACATTTTGGCGGAACGTGTAACGATTTAATTATATAAGTGGATAGATTACAAGAAAAGTGTTCAAAGTTGTTTAGACGATACTATAGACAGGCGTCGGGAGCCGCGAGCAGGTACTGGCAGGTACAGACTTGTTCCGTAAACTGTCGGTGTTAAGTTAATCAAGCAGAGTGCAGTGCGCATCTCAGCAGTTCGATTAAAGTTGCGTGTTATGAAGTGAGAGTAGATGTAGTAGGCCGCGGTACATGGCAGCCGCGAGGGTGGCCGGGCCGCAACTAGGGCGCCCCCCGCCTGCACCGTAGTACTATTATAGATTTTTTCTTTTTCTTCCGGGGTTGCTACGCACCGCCAAGGCCGGTGCGAGCTTCCGGTTACTTTGCTGGGATACACGTGGACCGTTCGCCTATTTTTATCGATAAAATACCCGAAGAAAAATGTTTTGCTTACTTTTCTTAGGGTAGTTATTAATTTAGAAGTCTCGCAGATGTTGTAATTGGATACTGGGGATTGAGAATTATTTTTGTGTTCGATTCTGTAGGCGATTACTCTTTGTTTGTTGTCACAACATCGCGTTGTACTTTTGTTCAGAATGATGACAAATGAGTACAATGTCAAATGTTTAAACAGGTCATTTAGATGGCAAAACTTACAAGCAAAATAAATAAAAGCTTTTAAAGACTGAATGCGCAACAAAACGTTGTGTAATGTTTTCTAAGTAAATCAAGGCTCCAACTACAAACTAAGTACATAAAGTTAGTCCACTAATGACATGCTAGTCTAACTTGATCACCGTGTCACTCTTGAGGTCGAAACTGTCCTCAAATTATGCATGCGATTTTAGTTCTTATTTCTTAAATCTGAAGTGTGGCTTTGGGAAACAGTGTAGTCATCCTATCGAAGTTGACTATTAATAATGACGTCTATTCTCATATAACAACGTAAAAAAAAAACTCAAAACATCGGTGACCAACAATAAAGTTCCAAGAAACAAAACAACGCAGATTACGCGAGAAAAAACCGAAGCAATTGCAGCGCTACTCGACAAAGAGTGGCGTATTTACGCAGCAGCCCTGACCGTTGCCATGGCAACGTTCCCGGGAAGCCTACAGTCACGTGTCGCGGGAACTTGTTTCCGCTTTTCGCGTTTTTCTTTTTCTCTCGTTCCACGCGCATTTTTTCTCCCGCCCCGCACTCTCCCACTCTCGGGGGAGGTTTACTCGTGCAGCCACCCAGCCTCCCT